CAGCGCACAGTCAGTCACAGTCCGCCACGCTTGCTTGTCTCCATCTTTCAATTTCGCCTTTCATATTCCCAAGTGTAGAGTGACGAGCCGGTTGTCCTCAGCTGGTTGATCTCGCCGCCTTTCCTTCTCTACTAGCCCCGCCGTGGTGGTCTAGTGGCTAAGGTACTCGGCTGCTGACCCGCAGGTCGCGGCATCGAATCCCGGCTGCGGCGGCTGCATTTCCGATGGAGGCGGAAATGTTGTAGGCCCGTGTGCTCAGATTTGGGTGCACGTTAAAGAACCCCAGGTGGTCGAAATCTCTGGAGCCCTATATTCCATGTCACTATATTCCATGCCCTTTCCGTTTCTACTATGTATACGACCTAATCGCACGTTGTGACCAGTTTTTCCGTTCCTTTTAAACTTCTTCAGGCCATGCGACGACACCGCAGCTGATCGTTGTATCGAGCGGGCACCGATTACAAAAAGAAAAAAAAAAAAAGAGCCGCATTGCGGCCTCGGCCGAAGGGTTATCGCGACCGCTCCTCCTCTCAATGGCCCACGTGGAGATTACACGTCACGAAGACTGAGACGTGGCTCGCCTCCGTTGAAAGAGGCGCTCGCGTATAGGCGCACCGAGGATCCACGTGTTCGAGCACAAGACGGCGTTTCGTCACACGTGTGCGCTCTCGGCGAGACAGCACAAAGGGCCACTCGCGGCGGTGACGAACGACGAACGCTAATTAGGCTTGTGCTGCGAAAACAGTTCGGCGGTGCGGTGAGTGTGCACTGGGTGTGTATTTTCGTTTTTCGGCACGTATACCCATTTGGAGAGGCAAAGTATGAAAAAAAGTGAAGAATGAACGATGTTTTTTTTTTTCTTTTTGCATAGACGACCGATTGTGTGCGGCTGACGTACCGTGTCCTCAGGCAATACAAATACTATTGCCAACCCTATTGATTCCCGCACTGCCAGCTCCGTTTTCGAGTGTTCAAACATTGCTGACTAGCGTGGGCTTACGTTGACCGTGAACATGGTTGCGAACGAATAACTGAATGAAATAAACGATAACTATAACAAATTTTTGTCGTATATACCAATAGGTCAGCACGGAGTTTACTTGCTTACTATTGCGGCTCTCACGTCTCCTAATGCCGTATTGTGTTAGTAGATGCAGACTACTGTTGGCTGTCAAGGTAACCAGAGTTGACCAAGTCTGATAAAAGGTGATTGTAACAAATTTACCTCGCATTTACCCGTAAATCATCGCTGCTTTTACTTATTGCCTATCCTACTTCTTGATACGATAAGCTGCGCTAATGATAACTTGTGTTGGCCATCAAGGTGTCTGGTGGTGACTAAATTCAGTTAAGCGTAATCGTAGCAAATTTATCTCGCATTTACCAATAGATGAGCAGCGATTTCACTTCTCCAAACGTCTAACCACGTTGACTAGTACTGCCTATATACTGTTGGCCGTCAGGGTAATTGGAAGTAATAACACGTAATCATAATGAATGTATCTCGCATTTATTGTTGAATCAGCACTGACCTTTCCTAATGATTTTTTTCTGTAATCTGTAATTGTAATTTTGGGTTTTGTTGGTTATTGCTGACTAATGTGTGCTGTTAATGTAACTAAATGTTATTGATTGCAATTAGGCGTATCGCAGTGTAATTATAACTTGGGGTTTTCTTGTTTTTTTTTATTTCGAAAGTCTGCCCCTCGCCATAATAGTTTTTAATTAAAAAAATACACATACAAGTTTTGTTCTTGTGTATGTATTCATGTATTTACCATCAAATGAATACTTTTAATAATCAATAATTAATTCATTACTAATTTATTTATTTATGTACTTATTTGTTTATTACTGCGTCGTCTGGCAGCCCACCGTCCGACGACTCAGCTCCCTTTTTTTATACAACGCTGTCGCTTGTGACACTCAAATTCCACTTCGTCGTACACCTCGAATGGAATCGCAGGAAACGAGCGTAATAAATCAAGCTAAACCAGGATCTCTCATTACAGGGCGCGTTTCGCATCCGTTTTTATAAACCAAGAGCGCACACTTGCGCGAGTTGGTGGTCATGACGTCAAGAGCGGCTCGGGATTAAACAATTACCTGCGTTTCTGCATCGTCGTTACGTCCAGGCTTTAAAAAAAATTCCGCCATATCCACGAAGTGAATGATGATGAGTGGGCGAAGCTCCGGAGGTAAACCTGGTAAACCATGAATCCTCTGTACATTTTGCCCACTCGATTTTATTACATCGCTCCCCCTAGCGTACGTCGCCGCACTAAATCGAACGATTGCATTCAACCAATGACACGCGCCATATGTGACATCATTCCTATTTTATAAGATCTCGCGTCTTTCATCAACTACAAGTACCGCTTTCTAGTTTACAACATCTTGCATCTTTTCATCATCCGCTACAAGTACCACCATCTAGTAAACACTACAAGAACTAAACGAGAGGTGGCTACATACAGGAGACGGTACCGCCATCTAGTGAACACTGCAAGAACTAAACTAGAGGTGGCTACATACAGGGGACGGTACCGCCATCTAGTGAACACTGCAAGAACTAAACTAGAGGTGGCTACATACAGGCTACAGGGGACGCACAGCCCACGCCCTAAGGAGCTTCGCCCCTAAAATTTCGCGCTGCTCTTGACAACAATCTCAATCACCGTTGTGACGTTCTCTTAAGCGCATTCTACGAACGTCGCTCACACGAGCCCCAGTGAAGGCGGCCGAAGTGTGTATACGTGGACGGCAGTGCGATCGGTCGAATAGTCAGCCCTCTCACGTGACAGTAAAGGCGCCGAGGTAAGAAGAAACACCACCGGAGGTAACGGGAGTTTTACTTATCTGCCGTGGTTATACGAGACGACTCACAAGCGGTGGGCGTAATCTCCTGACGCGCTGGGTACAATTAACAGTTGATCTCACGCTTAAGGTCGTCGACTCTCCGCGAGGCTTCAGTCTAACTGTTTGTATGCCAGCGTTTATAAAAAAAAAAGTGGACGAAACACATCAGTGAATTGTGATTAAGCTAGCCAAGGCCTTTCCTTTAGGACTGCTTTGAAATGCTGGCGTCACTCCTGCATCGTGTGTTGCCGACATCTTCAATAGATTTTAGGACAAGAAGTTTGCCGGCGTGAGCACAATTTTCTATTGGCTACCAGATCTTGGAGTGGCGCCCTCTCGCGTGTGACGTCAGTTCGCGGACTCCGCTCTCAACCACGCTGCAGCGGCCGCTGCTCCTGTGGGCGCGGATCGTCTGCTTCTGGCGGGAACTTTGTCAACGAACAGTGTCGCGAGAGTCAACTAACGCTCACAATCAGTGTCTTCGAGTGCAATTATGAATTCGTTTTAGTTGAAGCCCAATCGACAGGGCCAAGAAACCTCCCAGACGACCGCTGAGCACGCTGTTGCCGCCGACCACCATTGCTGGTGAGAAAGTGAAACTATGTGTGAGTGTTCTCGCTCGTCATCTGCGGTTTCCTGGTCGATATTTCCGGAGCCCTTCACTATACGGCGTCTCTCATAACCATATGGTGGTTTTGGGGACGTTAAACCCCACATATCAATCAATCTGCGGTTTCCGCCGCGCGATACTAATTAGTTCGGTTGTTTCGAAATTTCAATAAGCGTGCCTTGCTTCAGCATCTACCAGCATGTGGATACATCTAGCGAAACATAGCAGTGTCTCATCGACGGCGCGGTGGTGTACGACGCAGGGGGCCATGTTGTTGAACGTGCGCAGCCGATGCCGTCGATGGAGATCGCATTACCGTCGCGGCTCTGCCCCTGCAAACACCCGGACTTGCGATCCCGCCACACAAGCTCCCCGTGGCGACCGAGTGCTGCGCAGTGGTGGAGTACTGCTCTGTGCCTCGGTGTGCTTCGTCCACTCTTGAAAAGGACGTTAGCTTTCGCAACAAGAGAAGCGCTCACCTGCCCTTTTCCTTAGGATGTATTTTTTTTCTGCAGTGCAATGATAGTGACAGTGAATACGAGGACGTCGAGTCGAAAGCGCCAGATATATTTCACGAGCGAGTCTGAGTGAGATCCACACCTTTCGTCGACCTTATTGAGCAAACCACGCGAACGCTTCTATGTATGTCGCCTTCTTTTTTTTTTTTTTTGACCCGCGTCAGGAGACTTCGCACTGAGACGAGCCGGTATAAAGTCTGATGATTGATATGTGGGGTTTAACGTCCCAAAACCACCATATGATTATGAGAAACGCCGTAGTGGAGGGCTCAGGAAATTTAGACCACCTGGGATTCTTTAACGTGCACCCAAATCTGAGCACACGGGTCCGCAACAGTTCCGCCTCCATCGGAAATGCAGCCGCCGCAGCTGGGATTCGAACCCGCGCCCTGCGGGTCAGCAGCCGAGTACCTTAGCCACTAGACCAACGCGGCGGGGCCCGGTATAAAGTCTGTTTATGCAACACGCTAAAAGTAAAAATGGCAAAAGGAGGGCATCGCCTCCATCAGTCTTCACGTCTTCCGGCATGCGTTTTCTAGATTTTTTACAAGTAATAACGGTATCTCCGTAACGCGGAGACCCGTCTTCGTCCGTATCTAATTTCGATAAGAATCCGTCGTCGCCCGTTATATATATTTTGCAAGCCAGAAACGAAACCACCGAGGCTTATCTTTGGCGGCAAAACGCGGGTGCCCTCGTACCCGGAACGCAGGCACGAACGCGAAGATCCACGGTCGAGTAGAGAGAGGCTAACTGTTGTGAGATGTACTTTGTTTTTTTTTTTTTTGTTTTATCGCCAGGTTCCGACGACACACGCACGCAGTTGCGTGACTCGACTCGCAGTAACTGATACGTTCGCGCAACGCCTCAGATAAGCCGGGAGTGAGATAACAAAAAAACATAGCACACAAAAGGGTCTCATCGAGGGAAGCTCATTTTCACGCCCCCCTAACACGTCGTGCCAGTCGACGCGTGAACGAGTCGCCCTGCGTTAAAAAAAAAGAGAGAACGGGGAGTTTTCCCGCGGATAAGTTTGCAGTTCTGTAGTCAAACGTAGTTGGTTGGCACAGCTGAAAGGGTTGTATAAACGCAGGGGTACAGAGTAGTTGTTACAGACAGTTCGAGTTTGTAGATAAAACCATCCTATACGACTGACTATAGGCTTGTGTTGGATCCACAGTTCAGCACGTTCGAGCGACTTGTTTGCGAGCAGCCCGACTGCTATCTGGTGAGTAAGTGGCCGTCTGCTATTTCCTCTGAAATCAACCAATAGGGAGCGCCTGTACTCGAGTGTAATTGCATATTCGTACAATTAGTTAGGTATGAGTGTTACCAATGAGGTTACTTGCCGATGATGAGTGCTTGGGCCGCTTCACCCGATATATATTTCGGCCGTCCCTTGAAGTGGCCTTTAATGAGACACATATGTTACGGTGGCTCGGCATGCAGGCACGGTTTGGTACTGCTAATCTTGAGGACCAGGGTTCGATTCCTGTTAGAGGAAAAGTAAGAAAGGAAGGTCAACCAGACGCGTGTACGGCATGCTATAGTACGCTGCGCAAAGGGAACTGAGGGATTAAAATGATGAAAAAAAGTGGCGAGCATGCGCAAATTTAGTGGGGCCTCTGCGGCTGAATTTGCATGGGGGTGAATAAATCACTTGAAATGTTTATTCACTAGTTTAATTAAGCACTTTAAATCATGACTCATGAGTACCGCGCTCCAAAGCGCACGGTACTAAAGTGGCGAAAATTACTCCACATCCCTTCCTTTCTTCCTGCAATACATCGTGGTTTTAACACGTGAACCCCCTCCCCCCCCCCCCCCCCAAAAAAAAAAACTTATTTCCTTAAGGTAAAGACAGATAAAGTATTCTTATATGCACGTAGTATCGTTTGTTTAATACTATAGCGACGACAGAATGTCCACAAAATTAATGTTAATAGTAAATAGCCTGGAAGTGGCGACTCCATTAGTACAAGTTACACCCTTATTGTGATATCTATAAATATCTTGTGTAGGACAACTCAAACAACAAAGTTAACTTTTGTACATCAATGAAGCGTCGCAAAAATACGGTGACGTTCTGTCCCCGAGTGGTGACATCTTTTACAATAAACGGAATTCTATTTATGACTGTTCATATAACTATATTTTATAGTGTTAATGCTAAAGAACTGAATGAAGAACATCCGCGTACAGCATGGTTTACTGTCGTGGTTACTTTCTGTACATGTGGTGATAATACAGGTCGAAGTGCATAGGGGGGGGGGGTAGGAGGTGGATGATGCATAGGGGGGGGGGGGTGAAGGAGGTGTTACAACGCATGTATTTGTCCTTCTCATCGAAGTCAAAGAAATGTGTACATTCCTCTGTATACCGTACTTTGGCATCCTTCAGTGTTCCCGTAATCCGCCAGGAACTAGCGCATAATTAGTATGGTAAAATTCAAAGACCAATTATGGGTTGTTAGAAGGCCCACGACGAAGCCTCCCGTCTCGGACTGGTGTTACCGACGTGGACGCCGCCCACCTCGGCCTATATAAAAAAAACGAGCTTCAGGACTGTTTTCAATGAAGTTATTAATCAATCAATCAATCGATTGCGAAAAAAAGAACGACACGTCCTTAGACTTCATGTCATATTAGGCGAATGCATCATCGACCCTGTCAGTTTTTTTCTGACTTTAGTGACTAAACACGCCCCGAAATTACAAATTTACCAATGCCACATTTCACACTTCGAACGTCCTTAAAATGATTTGAAGATTGAACAAAGTCGATCATTGTTTGTGGAACGACCTTGCAGACAAAAGGAGAGATGCCGCGGAGACCCGATAAGCGAATCGTCTACCATGAACGTGCACCGTATCATCGTTCTCCCCTCAGTAGATATCTTGCACGGATAACACTATCGAAGAGCCCACTTCTGTGACCGTACCGGCCCCAAGGCGCCCTCCCCTCAGCCGGAACATCAAAATTTTCCCCACCTGCCCTAAGGGAATTGTGAGGAAATGGGAATGCATTTCTTTCGCCGAGAGTACATGGCGTAGCAATTTTAATGGACATGGGCTGGGCATGTAGCGCGTAGACAGGATAACCGCTGGTCATTAAGGGTAACTAACTGGATTCCCAGAGAAGGCAAGCGGGTTAGGGGGAGACAGAAGGTTAGGTGGGTAGATGAGATTAAGAAGTTTGCTGGTATAAAATGGCAGCAGTAAGCACAGGACCGAGTCGACTGGCGGAACATGGGAGAGGCCTTTGTCTTGCAGTGGACGATGATGATGATGATGATGGATGATGATGATGATGATGATGATGATGATGAAATTATCGACGAGATGATGACCTATATCATCACCATTTATTTACACATTCATCAGCTGTAGAATTGCTGTGGTTTAGATGAACCCTGTACAGAAAACATTTTTTACCTTGTAATACATGTGGAAGATTACGCATTGTTTCTTGGGTAGAGATGACATGCAAAAACTCGAAACGTAAACAAACGCTA